CTGATTGAGCTCGAGACACACATGGTCGTAGGAGCAGGTCTTTTGCGGCGACAGACTGCAGGCGCCATCCTGCTGGACATTATTGCCGCCGTCCCCAGTTTATGCCATGATTGGATATTTTTCGTATTCGGGAAAATAAACTTTCCCGAGTTTGTACTGAATGCAATAAGGACGCTCTATGCCAAGGTTACCGCCACCATTCTCCTGGGCGGGGTGTCTCACTGCTCTTTTCGGATCCTCCGCGGGATAAAGCAAGGATGTCCACTCTCGGGAAGCGTGTTCGCCCTGGGGTTCGATCCGATTTTACGCTTGCACTGTCTTCGGCTGCCCCGACCTGTCCATTTGCACGGCGCCTTCGCCGACGATGTTGCCCCCGCCGCCTTTGACATCTACACGGCCGCGCCCATTTTCATGAAAGTTATGATGCTTGCAGGGCTCGCCGCTGGCCTCATCCCGAACCTCAAAATAACAACGGTGATACTATTTTACCGCGACTTTAACAGGGAGGAGGAGGAGAGGAAGTTCCAACGGCAGGGGATCAGAGTTCGGAGCTTCGGGATATCCAAGTGTGCCAAGTATCCTGGTGTGATGCGCGGGATCAGAGCCCAAGAGGAATCTTGGGCCGCCCCACTGGTCAAGTTCCGCGACCGCTGCCGCTTCATTAAGTCTTTGAAGTTAGGCCTGTCAATGTCTCTCGTGGCTTACAACCAGATTGCAGTCACTGTGCTCATGTACATCGCCCAGTTCTTTCCGCCCACGGCCGATTGCAGTTGGCAGGTGCATCTCGGGTTACAGTCGTTAACATGTGCTCCTCGGCATGCCCTGTCTGATCACATGCTGATGGGAATGAAGTCTCGGGGGGGGGGGGGGGGGGGGGGGGGGAAACTATCTCGGGCCAGGTCTCTCACACGCGAAGCTCGGCCGCTGCATATCGCTACCCTCGCCTCTTCGGTCTTTTTCGCCTGCATCGAGAAAATTGAGGACGCGTTCGATGACCCCGAATGCCATCTGGACGCTCATCTTCATCCCGTTTATACCAAGTCTTTCGTTTTAATGATGAACCAGAACTATCGTGAGTTATCCCGAATCCCGTCCGCCCCCGCCGTCTTCGAGCACGGGCTTCAGAAGAAAATGACCAAGCTTGTGCTCGCACATCAACCCCTGGTCCCTTTTCCAGAGCTTATCCTGAGACGTCTCCAGTATTGGGCCTCGAGGTTTCCTGAAGCTGGCCAAGTCGGGGCTCCTGAAGCCCAACTGTGTTTCTCTCGGCTAAAAGTGGTCGGCCAGCACATTGCTCCCTTTGTTCAACTCAGTCTGCTGCGCAGTATATGCAACGCTTGGAATACCTCTCGGAGATACCGCCAGGCCACGCTAGGATGCAGGTTCGGATGTCAATGTATTGCTGGTGACCAGATCGTGCATTACCTTGTCTGTCCTGCTCTTCTCGGAGTGATGCGTGCCAATCTGCCTAGGCTCCCACCATGGTGGGGGGCGGAGGTGTTTGCTGGGCTCCTTCTTTTTTCTATGCCTCTCTCGTGCGATGAAATCGTCTCCATTGCCATAGCACACGACGTTCTGTTAAACACGTTTAACAAGCTCAGGTCCGAGGGGGCCCAAAGCACATCGCGAGCCATTCGGCTTGCTGCAGGCCGGTTCCGCCTTATTTGCCGACGGGATGCCAGGGCGCGGGCTCTGGCGCGGCGATAGGGCATCTAGCGATGTGGGCGCCTCGGATGACCTGCCAGATGGGATCGGGTCTCCCCCTCCTTCTCCTCTTCCTCCTCCTCCTTCCAGTTGAGGGGGTTTTCGCATGGCGCCTCGTGTTCGCGCCGCGTGCGTTGGCGTCGCGTCGCGCCGCGGTGCGAGCCCAGGGCGGAACGGCGCCGTCCGTTTTGCGGGAGCTCGCCGGGAGATTTGAGCCGTCGAGCCTAATTCGCCGCGTCGCGCCCCAGCGCGAACCCAGCGCAGCCGACCGTCGCGCAGAAACACTTCGGTCATTTGTGGGCGACGATCAATGGAGAGAAAGCATGTTGCCAAATAATTTACAGAGTTCTGAACAAGAGTTCAAAACTTGTCTTAATCGTGTAAGAACATGTTTAAAACATTACAAGCCTTTTCAAATACACAATGATAGTTGGAAGTCTTTGATGCAATGGTCGGATTGTTAGAGCGTTCATTGTTATGGCATCCGCAACATAAGCACTTCGGTCATGCTGTGTGCCATCACCATCATATTTGCCAGTTCTACATTCTCTGCTCAGGGTCACCTCGCCCGCTGCGCTACACCTTCTGCGAGGTTCGTTCTCCTCTGGGAACGCCACGCGGTGTAATCCGGCGCACATCTGAGGATGACTGAGCCCTGCAGGAAGCTCCATCTACCGTCAGAGTTGCCAGTTAAGGGAGCTCGCATGGCGTCACGGGTTCGCGCCGTATCCGTCGCGCCACAGTGCGGACCGAGACCGGGAGATTGGCATCAGATGTGGAAGCTCTCACGGGCTCACGCCGTCACGCCCGTTCCGCCGCGTCGCGCCCCAGCGCGGGGCCAGCGCAGCCGATCATCGTGCAGAAGCTCTGTGGCGATGATGAGCATCTCCGTAATCGGAAAGGAAGACGGCGACGTGGGCGAGGAGGAGGAGGATCAGGTGGGGGACGACGGCGATGCCGATTAGATTGGCGGCGAAGCAGCCGGAACGTTCGAGCGCTACGCGTGGTCATTGTTGGGCCCCCTGCCTGTGGCGGCTTGCTTTGGCGTCGTCGCCCACGCCGTCGTCCTCGTCATTCTTGTCGCCGTCGCCTCCGTCGAAGTTCACCCCTCTCCTCCTCCTGGTCCTCTTCATCTTACTTACATCTGTACGCGTACGGATGTGATTCCTCTCCTATTTTTCTCCCCCTCCCCTTTCTGACCATTGCTGTCCTCGTCCTCATCGTCCTGGGACCTCCGTGCTTTTCCGTCATCCCCTCCGTTTTCTGCTTCTTGCACTTTCTGTTCCTTTTTGGCCCACTGCGTCGTTCTATTCCCTCTCCTCTTCCTCCTTCCGTCTCTTACCTCAGCATAATCCCTCTTGCTGCTCGTCCTGCTTCCCCATCATTCCTCGTCTCTATGTTTCTTTCCCTCCTCCTCACCATCCTTCGCGTTGCGCCTCCTCCTCCTCCTCCCTCTCCTCCCCCTTTTCATCCGTCGCCCTTCCCTACTGCTCTCCGAGCGGGGTTATCTCAGTCTGTAAGAAATTGCGGCTTCTTCGAATTTTATCCGGTTTTGATCCCGGCCCAGCGGGCTCCAGTAAACAGCGTTGGCGTTTGGCGGCGTCGATTCAACAGTTTCCGAGGTTCACAGGTTCAATATCGAGTGGCGCCGGGTGTCGTCGATTTCCCAGCACCGGGTGCACAGACATGCTCATTCGGAGTTTCTGGATACCGCCGATGTTCTGCGAACATGTTTCAGGTTTCATGTCGATCCGACCGATTCGATTCGATATCTCAGGAGCGAAAGAAGGACGTACACGTACATGAATCCACGCTGGTTTCGAGAGTACGCATTGCGCAAATGTTCGCATAACGCGGCCGGTCTCGCAGATCGAGGGGCCGTGTTCATGTACATAGCTGGGTGCGTACGTCCTTTGTGGGCTCCCTAATGTCAAGTTCGACCAGCCCGATCCGCTTCGATGTCGGTGTTCCCGCGGTCCGACGCGGCCCGATGCTCGCACGGCCGGTGCTGCGCATCCCGGCGCGGCCGATCGGGGTCTCGATGCCGCCTCCGTGCCGAGCTGGCCCGAGCCGTCGATGCACCGCTCCTGTTTCCGCTGCTCCAGGATTTACCAGCCTCGAACGGATCCCTATCCCTAAGATTGACACGACAAAAGGCGATGACAATCTCAGGGGTTCGCCCTCAAAAAATGAGGGAATCCCTAAGATTGGCATCGTGATGAGGAGGTGCCCAGCATAGGGATAGGGGTATGTTCCAGGCTGGTAAAGGATCGCATCCTGCCCGCGGCCTCGAGGCGTGATCCAGCCGTGGATGCGGAGGGCCCGGCGGGACCCGAAGTATGAGATGTCCTTCTCTTCTTCTTCCTCCTCCTTTCTTTTCCTCCTCCTCCTCCCTTCTTTTCCTCCTCCTTCCCTCTTGTCCTCCTCCTCTTCTTTTCATCGCGGTTCCAAGGAGTTCGGAACAGCGCAGCGCAACGCATTCGCATTGTTTGGGACTGTTTCGCGCTGCTTGGTATCACGCAGCAGCAGCTTGATCCGTAGCCCCTCTGGCTGCTGCTCCGCATCCTCGCCCCCAGATCGCCTTGCTCATCCACCCCGCTCTTCCCCCCCCCGCCCCGCTTGCCTCCCGACGTTGCCCCTTGTCCTCCACGGTGGCCCGCGTTTTTTTTGTTGTCCAACGCCGCGGACGGCTGTCGAGCGATTCGGGAAGGCGCTCCTCCGCGCATCCTCCTGTCGTGGGGGCCCATCAGGGCGCCAAAGCAGGCCTCGGTAGCCAGAGGATCTGATCCTGATCCCAGGTCCCTGCACCTCAGGGCTCATTCCGATTCCTCCGAGTCGATTCGATTTCGATGGCTTCCGTTTCCGATTCGATTCGATTTCGGATTCCGATTTTGGTTCCGATTCCTTTATGGAGGCCTATCAGCCTGCCGATTCCGCCGATTCGAGTTTTCCTGACTCGGCTGTCGATTCCCGCCGATCCGATCCATTGCGATCGCCGATCCGACTCGTCTGTTGGATTCTGGGCCCTCCTGGCCCATCTCTTCGCAGGGGAACCCGAGCTTCTTCTCGCTGCGGCTGCCGCCCCCGTTGTTCGGAGCCCCCCCCCCCCCCCAAGCGCCAGTGCCTCACCTTCAACCCAACCCTTTCCTCCTCCTCCTCCTTCTCCTCCTCCTCCTCCTCCTCCTCGTCCTCATCATCCTCCTCCTCCCTCGTGCGAGAACTTAACCGTGGTGGCCCTCTGCCGCCCTGGCGTGCCCCGCACACACTCCACGCGGCGGGCCTCCAGCGGAGGGGAGGTTCTGCATACAGCGCAGGTGGTGCACCCGCTGGTTCCAGCGGTGGCTGTCTCGGAGGCGGGCCTCGGTGGCGGCTGCGGTGACGGCGGCGACGACGACGTGGCTGCCGTTCCTCTCGTCCGTCCGTCCGTCCACGGCCTTGCACGCTCGTGCTTTCCCCATCGTGGGGCCCACCAAACGGACCTGCTCGACGGAAGTTTCACCAAAGCCTGGCATCGCTCGGGCGTGTGTGTGTGTGTGTGTGTGTTTTTTCTCGGCGAGGACCATCGAGGAGCATCCTTGATCATTTGGCGAAAATAGCACGCACGAAACCGAAAACAGCACAGGGAATGGACGCCCGAGCGATGGCCAGCAAGGCGACAGGCGTTCGACGCAGCACTGGCGCAGCGAGCATCGAACCGGCCAGGCCAGGCTCGTCCGCCCGGCGGCCCTGTTTCTTGTCATTTCTGCTTGCCTGCTTGTTTGTGAGTCCATCCGCTGCTCCGCCCGCCCGCAGTGTTTCACCTCTCATTGGCTGCACGAGGCAGTGGCGATGGATAGCTTCAGGCCCTCGGGAGCTCAAAGGTGTCCATGTCCATTTTCTCCTGTCGTCTTGGCTTATCGTTGGCCCAGGCCTTGGATCTGCCTCAATCGGGCCTCGGGGTTCATTGCTTCTCTCTCTCTCTCTGTCTCTCCCTGTGGCCTTCTGTTGCCATAGTTGGGTGCCGTCTGGTATGTCAGGAGGGAAGAAAACACGCAGGCACCATTCATCGCCGATCCCTGAAGATGTGGGGGAAGATCTGGGCAGTGGGGGGAAGGACGAACACCCCGAAAATGCAAGGGGAATTATGGGGAGCCCGGTGATCTGGCAACGTGCGGCGTCTAAGCTTGTGAGGACACTTTTTGGAGGCATTACGTTGCCAGATAAGGCGCGGCGCCTGAGCTTGTGAGGACACTTCTCAGGGGCATGACGTTGCCAGATCAGGCGCGGCGCCTGAGCTTGTGAGGACACTTCTCAGAGGCATCACGTTGCCAGATCAGGCGCGGCGCCTGAGCTTGCGAGGGCACTTTTTGAAGGGAAAAAATGGGGAGCCCGTTGATCTGTGCCTGCAGCGCCGGTTTTGATACATGCTCCGCGTGCGGATCACACATATATGCATATATATATATATATACATATATATACATATATATACACTAAAATAAAGAGAGTTAGTAATACAAGCAATGATGGACTTATGCATTGATTTATGGGTAAACTAATCATGTATCAAAAATCCCATGTATTAAAAATCCGATGTATTAAAACCTGCCCTGCGTGTGCTTGCGTGCCTGTGGGCCCCTTCGAAGTGGTCGCCTGGGCACGGATCCCGTGCAGGGAGCTCCCCGGCTGCTGGAGCCCCCCCTGCGGGGGCGCACGCGCAGACCGTCTCGCGCGGGGGGGCCAGGCAGCACGGGACGCCCCGCGCGGCGCTTGCAGCCAGGAGGGAAAGAGACACTTTTTGATCCGCGGGTCGAGAGCGAGCCTCTTCTGGTCGAAGCTGAGCGGACCGGCACAGTTTTAATTGACAGAGGGGGGAAGGCAGAAGGAGGGGCCTCACGTCAAGGCCAAGAGAGGGCAAAGCCCCGGAATCAGGCGGTGCCGAAGGCGAAGTGCATGCAAAGGAACGCCTTGTACAGGAACCCGGTGGCGAAGTACCAACGCAGACACAAGGAATCGTCGACTCCCCCGAAGATTTGGGAAAAACTCTGGGGAGGGGGGGGAGGACAGGATCCCAGAGAAATATGGGAAAGTATGATGAATCTGGTTTCTTGTGCCCCCACGCAGTCACAACGAATCGTCGACTCCCCCGAAAATCTGGGAAAAACTATGGGAAGGGGCGGGGGAGGACAGGATCCCAGAGGAATAGGGGAAAGTGTAAGGCATCTGGTTCTTGGTGTCTATTTTTTTTGCGTGTCCCAGTTCCCCTTTCCCATAAAGGGTCTGGTGACGCCGGGGGGTGGTTTATGATCGGCACCGCTGGGGCCTGGGGGGCACGACGCTGCCCTCGTCGGGCCTCCTCGTCGGGCCCCCAGGGCCTCCTCGTCGGGCCTCCTCGGGCACGACGCTCTCCTCGTCGGGCGCGGGAGCACTCCATCGAGGTCCCCGCGCGCCCCCCAGGGGTGCCGACCCCGGATGTTCCCCAGGGTGCCGGTTGCAAATCGCACCCTGATCGGGCCGGGCGAAAGGGGGGGATTGGGAAAGGGGGGGTACGAAATTTGCTGCGTGCAGCTGGTTTCGGCTTCGCCGAGGGACCCATTCCTAGATACATAGCCGCCTCCGGCGCTGGGAGGCGCCGGGAAAATCAGCTACGTAAGCTGATTCTCAAACCCCCCCTTTGCTATCCTCCCCTTTTCGCCCGACCCGACCTGTGCAAACCACACCTTTTGGAGTCGCCGACCCGCAGACGCCTGGAGCAGCAGGAGGAGGAACGAGGAGTGGCGAGGCACCTGCGACATTGCCGACCTCAGGAGGGGAAACATCACACACAGGCGCAATGAGTCGTTCACACCCAGGATCATGTGGGAAGACAAGGGAAGTGGGTGGAAGACAAAACCCAGGAAACATGGGAGACTATGGGGAATCCTGTCATTTGTGTCTGTTGACTTGCGTGTCCCAGGGCCCCTCCAAGACCACGCTGTTGGCACCACTCGTGGTGCCCGCTTTCTGGCAGTTCCCTGGCCCATGTCCTTCCGCAGAACCGCGCGGGGATGGCGCCCAGACGCCCGACGTCTTTGATTTGTTCACCGCGCGGCCCCACGAGCCTTGACTTACGTAAGTCGGGCCTGTCCCCCTACAGTGGGATGCTGGACGAAGAGTGAAAACTAGTCAAAGGATACCCCG